CCTATTGCTAGAGGCATCGCATCTTCAGATTTAATATACTCAATATCAGGAGACTTCCCTCGGTTACTAGGATTCAGTGGACATGATCATTGGTGCGAAGATTTTTCAATACTGCAAGTACATTTAACACTACTGATTATAAACCCTTCCAAATCACTATCAATACCAGAGCTATTCAAAATGCTACTATCATTACCATCAGAACTAGAAAATAAGCTTTCATCATCATCATCATCATCATCACTATCATCAAATATTAATTTGCCCTGATCAATTACCTTACCATTTGTTATACTTTTATGCACAGACTCTGTAGCTAATATGCCACACTCACTACCTAAATCTTGATCAAAATTAGTTATACTTAATTTACCTCTTTTTGTATTACTAATCTTCCCATCTCGTTTTGGTCTTCTTTATACGAGATGATTTGGGTGTTTCCTTACCATATATGGTCTTATGTTGCTCAACCCATAATTTGCTTGCAACTTGTTCAGATTGCCTATGTCTTTTCCTTGCTCTTCTTCTCTTACATTTAACATCATGCTGCTTGACTCTTAAAAGAGACTTAAACCTAGAAACATTTAATGCTTCAGCCATACCATCAAATCTGGGTAAGCTCATTCTTTCAAAAAGATCAAGTAACCAATGGTAATCTGGCCCTTTGTGCACATACATCCAGGACATGTTACTTTGTATAAGCCCAAGTAAAGTGGAAACATAGTAGTGAAGCATCTGTAGATTTAAATTCTTTGTTCTAAACTGCAGCAATACATTATGACATAATTCAATTATACTAGTGTGGCAACACCCTAACTCCTCATGAATAATTTATTTTGATTTAGCAATAACAGCTTCACATGCAATTTCATATGCAAGACTATGGAACGGGCAACATAAAATATTTTTTGTTTTGTATGGCTTACCTTGACATGTAATGTCACCTTTTGTTCATTTTCCACAATCACAAACAGTTAAATCATGAAAGAAACATTTACCACCTTCCCATTCATGTACATTTTTTGCATGGTACTTAGCTAGTGAGTGAAGTTAATCTGAAAAGGCATCTTGGTCACAGCCAACAGACTTAACAATAGCAGAAAAGTTTATCCTAGCTGTTTTAATGAAACCTTTAGTGAAACAACCAAAGTCATCCTTCATGCAGTGACACTTTGCTGCAACAATGCCAGGGTGAGTTTTTTTATACTTTTTAATTTGGCTTTTTTTAATTATTTTGCTTAGGTAGCCTTTTTAAATGCTTTTCATGATTCCATGCAATATGACCAGTACACAAAATAATCCTGCAACTAGAAAAATTAGAAAGCAAAGGCTTTGAAGATGTACTGTTGTTATCTTGCACATGAATGCTAATGTTCATTTCATCAGTTACAGCTTTTCTAAAAACCCACTCAGCCCCAAATCCCTCTGCAGATTTTGATGTACCTTCGAACAATTCTTATCATCCTTACCTCTTTGACTGAAATGCTTGTAGTACAAAAGCCCACCAGTTTGATAGTTTCGCAGAGTATACGTAGCATTTTGACTATGGTAGCCACGTGTTAGCCATGCAGCATCACCGCATGTCACAGCATTTGAAATGACCCAAGCTCACTATCATTCTTCTGCTTCATTAATTCTTTTGCTTTTTTGCACATATCATTTAGTATACCCTTGACATGAGGGTGCATCAAAGCTAATGTCTTATAATAAATTGATTTTCCTGCACAGTACATACCAAGGGCATTTCTAAGTACTTTAGCATATTGAGAATACATTGCACCTGAACATATAAATGCAACTTGCAGGGCAAGACCAACTGCTGTGCAGTTTCAGTCTCATGCTAA